GCGCCGGCCTGCAAAAAATAGGGGGACACGCCCCCCCCCCCCCCGCCCTCCTGGGGGTGCACATAGCAGTGGCACTGAGGGGGGTTAAACGGGAGGGGGGACTCGCATGTAGCAACCACTAGGGATGCATGAGTGTGCTTCTGTGGGGTCCAGCAAAGTGTGCTTCTGTGGGGTCACCCTATTTGATTCAAATTTGGCCCGAATCAGGGACAGTGATTTGATTAGTTGATTCAGATCACCGTCCCCAATTCAATTTGGCTGAATCCGAATCTGAAGATTCAATGCTGATTCAGAGAATCACTGATTCGGCCATAGACAGCTTTAAATGTTTTTTCTACATCCTGTGAGGTACCAGTGTGACTTGTGAATGCTGCAATGCTGGGGTGGATGGAGCGTCTCACAGGAGCGTGGGGGGGCCCTCCACGTGCTTGGTGGCAAACCTGGAAGTGGACCAGAAGTACTTCTGGTTCACTTCCGGGCCTGCTGGGGATCATGTGGGGGGGCCGCTCGGTGATCAGCCACGGGAGGACCCCAGGTGTCCCCCCCGCAGACCCAGGAGGCACCAGTCACTGAGCTGGTGGGCATGTGGGGGGGCCCCCTGCGTGCTCCCTAACAGACCTGGAAATGGACCAGAAGTGCTTCTGGTCCACTTCCAAGTCTGCTGGTGAGCGTGCTAGGGACCCGCCATGCTTCTGTGGGATGTTCTATGCACCCCAGCATCACAGCGTTCATGAGCCATCTGCTACCTAGAGGTATGTAGAAAAAACATTTAAAGCTGTCTCTATGTCTGAATCACCGAATCTTTCCGAATGGATTCCGAGGGTTCTGATTTGATTTGGAGAGATTAAAGGGTTCTCTGATTCGATTCAGAGATTCGGCCACCGAATCAGGCTGACGGGCCTTGCGCCTGGCCAATTGCACACCGCCCGTCAGCAGCCCACAGAGTTGCATGTGCAACCAGCCCTGCGAAAGCAATGCAGGTATGGCAGCGGCAGTGGTGCAGGGCAGTGGGTGTTGATGGTAGTGGTGGCTGCTGCATGTGAGACCTGCCCCCCCGTCTGGCCAGGAAGGTAGCACTTGTGAGGCCTGCAGAGGGGCACCACTGTCCTTGCCCTCCCTGGCCTGGTCCTGAGAGCAGGTACAGAAGCACACTCCCTTTCCGCTGCCCCTCAGTGATCGGCCATGGGAGGACCCCAGGTGCCACCCCCCGACCCCTCCCACCTGCCATTCAGACGCTCACTGCTGTCCAGAAAGGGGGTGGAGCAGAGCAAGCTGAGGTGAGGCAGAGGCACTGCGGTGGGCTGTGTGGGGCCAGCAGCACTCAGTGTGCTCCTCCCCCCTCCCCCCAGGTAAGAAGCAAACTATGGGAATGCACTGAGGAAGATGCCGCCACAGCGCCCCAGGGCACACTCATTCCCCACCCACCTGCCCACACATATCCCCTACAGCCTTTCTAAGTACCCCGAGGATATGCGTACCCCCAGTTGACAACCCTTGACTTAAAGTTATGCCACTCCAAGGCAGGATTATCTCTAGTCCACCTAATTTTGCTCCTGTTCCATTAAGGTATGGCCACTGCCCACAGCTCAACCCAAGTTGAAGTTCTCCAGCATCCCAGGATGCAGTGGCTCTGCCTGAGACTGAGTGGGGACTCCAGGGCACAGCAGAGCCAGGCAAGGTGCTTCTAACCTGCTGCTCCTACCAGGCAGAGCCAGCCTCGCAGCCCTGGAGCTTGCTTACATTGCTCAGGCCCAGCAGTCCAGAAATGTGCCTGGGGGGAGGGTGTTCAGGGACAGGACTTCCCATCCCTGCTGGGCTTGGGAGGCAGCTGAGGGTTCAGGCACCTGCCAGCCATGGGCACTGCTGAAAAGGGTCAGGACCTTGGAGTCCAGCAGCAGCATGGGGGCCTGGGCTTTTTTTCCTCTGGAGTACCCCGCCCCACCCCCCATGCTGCTGCTGGACTCCAAGGTCCTGACCCTTTTCAGTGCTCAGATGGTGCCTGGCTGACTGCCAGCACAGGTGGGGGGGCGGCAGGGGCCCTCTAGAGAAAAAAAGGATCAGGCCCATTGGAGCTCAAGCAGTGAGCCAGTCCTGCCCCTGTTCACCAAGCTTCTAGTGGCAAATCACCACTGTGCAGGTGAAGGAAAGTCAGAGGTGGTTTTTCACCTTAAAGTGCGACTGCTGCACAAAGCTGAACAACACTAAGCTGATTAACTTTTGTTCAGCCTACAGAGTAAGGTATAAGGAGGCCCAGAGAGAGCACTGCCCTCAGCTGCTCAAGAGGCATAATGCAAAAAGGGAAAGCTGCTGCCTGGCCCTGGGAGGGAAGGGAAAAAACAAAAGAAAGTGTGTCCACTGCTGGATCTCAAATGAATGGTGCTGATGGACTGTCACAGTGGCTCAAACAAGCAGTGAGGTATCAGTAGCTTGGATGAATCCTGCCTAAGCCCATACAACCAGTCTCCCAGGACACTTTGGAGTACCCTGGGTATGTGAAAGCACGATGGAGGACACCCAAACCCTTGGTGCTGGGTTCTCTCTCTTCTTTCACTCATGCCTAGACTTTCTCTCTCCAACCCCACCCAGTTTTTTCTCTACCACTTTTTCAGCATCCTTCCTTTCCTTGCCCCTGGCTCCCTCGCCTTGGGCAGCCCCCTCTGAACTCATCAGCCTGCCTGTGAGCCACCAGCCCTGCCAGCTGTGATCTGTGCTTAGCATGATGCCCTTTATTCCCACAACCCTCCCTGCACACACACTTGGGCCTGTGTTTGGGTCTAAGTAACCAGCCACCTGAATGATCATTTGATTTCTCTTGTTATCAAGTCAGCAATTAACAAAAGACCCAGTGATTGCTGTATCGACTGGCCGTGGGTTCCATTTTTCTATCTGCACTATCTCAGCCCAGGGAAGTGAGGGCAGAGGGATGGGTTAGTGGGATTTATTTATCACTATGCCATGTTTTGTGTTTGTGTTACCAGGGGAAGCAAGGGGTGATAATGGTATGGCAGCCCTTGGACATCCAATTTCCCTTATCAGGCCACTGAATAGAGAAGAGGCCCCCCCGGCCACATTAATTAACAGATACCAATCAGCTGTCACGTGTTGTGTGTGTGAGGTCTGAGGTGGGTGGGGGGAGGAATCGATAAGCCATTGGGGAGGAGTGCCGGAGGGAATGAGGGAGCAGCTGAAGAGGAGCCCAAGTCACCAGGGAGCAGAACTGCAAATCCTATACTAGCCAAACAGAGCAAAGGGAGGAAGACAGCCCTCAGCCAGGGGGGTTCAATCTGTCCCACAGCATCTGTTCCAACACCACTGCCTGAGGGATGCCTTGCACAATCCCCCAGTGT